AGTTCCGGGTCTTTGAGACTTCCGGTTCATTGTCCATTCGAGGCGCAGGAAGGTTCCGTCTGATATCCGAGTATTTCAGAGAACCGATCTAGGAGTAGGACGTGTGAAGTGTTGCACTGGGACATCCGCGTACTTGCACTGCTCGGTGCAGCTATTTTAGGTTTAACAGCCCCGCCGTATACCTAGTTGTTTGCCCCACACTCACACCACTGTGACAGGGGACATGGGGAGGCGATTTTAGAAAAGCCTTTACTGAACTGGTTCCCCTCTGCTTCTACTGTTCTTAGTACCACCATCCACACTCTCCTCCCTGTATTGTAATTGTTTTATCTTGTGCAGTCTTGTTATTTATTGCTGTTGTCATTCTGTAAAGCCCCTGGAGAAGCCACCTTTAAAGGCACTATATACACAGAGTTTTATTAGGATTATTTCAGCAGAAATGGAGCGGAGCGCCCAGAGTCCTCTGGAGGACAGACCTGGGCCAGACACCAACCCCATGCCCCTGGTGAGGGGGCAGATATGGCCCCTTCGGCCCTGCCCCTGCCCCAGACCTGGTCGATTCTCACCCCACCCTGCCCCACACTGAGAAACCAGACATAAAATACACCAAAAATTTAATGAGTAAAGTCGATTTCCAAAAGAAAAAAAAAATAAAAACTTACAATGAGATTTTTTTTCCTGCTTTCAATTTGGAAAAAACAAACATTTAACTGCCACAAGAACAAAAAGAGTACAGACGATTACGCCAAGTGTGAACAGCAGACGACCGCCCTCTCCCCCCGGCTGAGCTGCTGCAGGCTGTCCGGCCCTCTCTCCTGGCCCTGGAGCCTGCGGTCCGCACCAGGGCACAGGCACAGCGTGTGTGTGTCTGTCTGTACGGCGTCAGTGTGTGTGTGCAGTGTGCGTCTGTACGGCGTCGGAGTGTCTGTGTGGGCAGTGTGCGTCAGTGCGTGTCTGTGTGTGGGCAGTGTGCGTCTGTACGGCGTCAGTGTGCGTCTGTACGTGTGCAGTGTGCGTCAGTGTGCGTCTGTACGGCGTCAGTGCGTGTGCAGTGTGTGGGCAGTGTGCGTCTGTACGGCGTCAGTGCGTGTGCA